AAAGTTCTTGGGTGGTACAAAACCAGTCATGGCAATCTGAAGGTGCTTGCTTTAGGAGCTAATTCTATTTTTATTTTTCAATAACATGTTGTGTCTATGATGCTTTGAAGAACGACTTCACAGTTTTGTAATGATTCAATTCAGTAACTTTAATTGCAGGCCAGAGATGCTAGACAGGGCAAGAAACAAAGCTCGAGTTAAAGCTTGTTACATCATGATTGGACTCTCAATTGTTGCCTGCTTTGCCGTGATTGCCTCGGCTAAAAAGGTGAGTACAGCGCTAGCTAGTCATTATGTAGCATACTTTAAAATGATGGAATTCTGTGAAAAGCAGACAAACCTAAAAAGCAGCAGCTTACACCTATCCTAGTTTTAGCTTAGCTATGTGCCTCTCACCCCTGGCATGGAAGTAGCTGCTGTTCCTGGGAGCTTTCCCCAAGAAGGTGCATCAGTACTCCCACTGCACTACTCCTAAGTGGGTGTTTTGCTTCCGCAGGCTGCCGCACGTCATGAGTCCTTAACAAGCTGGAACCTGGCAAAGAAGGCCAAGTGGCGGCAAGAAGCCGCGCTAGCAGCGGAGTCGAAGACAAAGTAACTTAATATGAAATGCCAAATGTCCTTGTAGGAGCAAAACTGACTGTTGCCAAGAGGGATTAGTGAATTTTGGCGATAAATGGAAAACTGTAGTATTGCACACATGGGTAGTTACAGGGTCACAAAAAGAAATGGAGGGTCTCTTATTAGAGATACTCAGTGCACGGGTTGCAAATTATTAAAATTAGAATGTTTTGCACATAAGTAAAAACGGTCATTAATTTCAAAAGGAGACGAGGTAGTTTCCTACGAATGTCAGGTATGGGGGGGAGCCAAGTTTCCACTATCTGTCTTAAACTTTCTTGAGCTGTTACACAGCTGAGTTCCTTACAGAAAAACCAGCTCTAATTTTCAATGAAAGGTTAAATGCAGTAAAGACCAAGCAGTAGTGAAGGTACAAACGCTGCAAAAATAAGGAGACCTACGCAATTCACTTTTGCAATTCTGAATAAAGAACAAACTGTAATCAGCCAGAATATCACAAATCTTACATGCTGAGAAGAAAAGGTTTGGAGAAGTGAGGGGAGGGGAAATGGCCCTGATAATCCCACAAATTCTCAAGCCCTTTCCATGGAGTTTGTACTCCATGGGAGTTCCCAAAGAAGTGATCAGTTTTGCAGGCAAAGACAGGACTGTGATTATCATACAGGTATATGTTTATATATTTACAAAACATATTTAAACCCAAAAAGCTTTCTGTCTGGTGACAGTGCATAGTTTTACAGTGCACAGATCAGCCAGTTCTAATTCATTTGCCTCAGTGTATTCAAAAGGGCATTTGTGTTTTCTAGTTTAAGCAGCCACACTTATCAAACCACTAAATAAATACAATAAACATCTGTAAAATAGGTTTTATTGGTTTCTGTATGGTATTTGGAGATTTAACATTCCATAATATTGCATACTACTCATATGCGTTCTGTTACAGTAATGGGCCTTTGGCCTGGATTTAAAGATGCACTATTACTATCTGAAGTTAGTGTAAGGTATTTTAGTTTCCACACATTATATGAAAATATTGTGCCGTAAGTAACTGAAATTTCTCATTCCAGGTTTCAGTGAACTCTTGAAGTCACAGTTAAACTTTACATATCAATTGGCAGACATGTTACAAAAATCCTCAGTTGTACAATTTAATAAATTTAAACCAACTGAGAACTAACCGTGGAGGAAAGACAATAGTGCATCTTTTTTTTTTTAAGACAGACCCAACAATAAATATTTTCCAGTTGCAAACTTGTTCTACAGCTAACTTATTTCTGTGCCAACATTATTATTATTTTCTGATTGCTGCTAGCAACAGTGTTTAAAGCAAACACTAGAAAATTAAAAAGCTGTATGAACCAGTCCTCAGACAAAAGTGCAATGATGAAAAAATTAGATATGATTCAGTGTATCAAGAGTAGGGAACTAAAAACCAAAAATATGTTATACTTTGCATAGTTGCATAGGTTAGCTAGTTAGTATTCACATTTAAGCAGAACAAATGGTACCCTTTTAAATAAAACAAAAACCACAAAAACCCAAACCCTGTATTTTTAAACAGACTTTGTAACTGATGGGACACTTCAGATTCCATATAAAATACCAAACTTAAACAGACTTTCTTCTCTCAGTTATTTTTTTTTCCCTCCACACTGGTTTCATCTGTTGGAGCAATATCATCGTATTCACACCCCTGCCTGCAAATGACTACACCAGAGCTGACCTTAAGTCATCATCTCTGGTTTTATTTTGTTCATTTATGTGCTTTATTTAATAAAGTGTGATGTAAACCAGTGATAAAATAGGAAAGGCTATCCTGTATGTTTATCCTTTAAAGAACAATTTTCATTATTATTTTTTAAAGAATTTTAGGGTAAACCAAATGTTGAGTTTAAATAATGATTTTCATTAGACAAAGTCCATCAATTTTAGTTCCCTTTTAAACCACTACATTTAAATGTATCAGAGGCATGAAATATAGTTTATCTAAATGCATAAAGTGCAGTCACTAACTGTTCACACATATAGATTAATATATCCACAAAACTGAAGACATTCTTTCAAAACAAATATAATACTTTAAATGTCCCCTCTTTTCTTCATTTTCAAGTCTTTTAATCAAGATTTTTATAGTTCAGATTTGGTTTAGAGAGGCTTATAAATGCAGTTTTTACAGGGTTTTCCAAATAAAAAGCAGGCACAGCTGGTTATGTTATCAAAACAAGGTTGTTAGAAACAATGGAATACCCTGTTACCTGAATAATTTTCTTACACTAGAAGAACACTGAAATTCAGCATTTACTGGTAATCCTGATAGATTTCCATGATTGTTACCCTGTACTTTGAACAGATGCGGGTGGGGTAGGAGGAGAAGGAAGGTCAGTATATGAAAACCTAAAACTATGAGAGTAAAAAGGGCACAAATACAATCGTCTAACACTATATGAAAATTTGGCAGCTGTACTCAGTATTATCACACTATTCAAAACTGTTGTATGCTGTACAAATCTAGGTTTAAAGTGTCATTTGCTAAAATATCTCATTATTCAGAGTTCATAAAGTAACAGCACTCCTATATACACTTCTTACACTTCTACCTTCTGCTAAAAAGACTTCAAAAAGAGATTTCTTCCTCCCAGTTACATCTTAGTCAAAACTGACCATTAGTCTTAGAAAATCCACTTCAAGTCCCACGTTCAATTACATTATAGTATATATTGCTGTAACATCAAAGTGAAACATCTTAGGATCTTAACTTGTATGTAAAAAAAAAAATTCTAAATATAAAATGGTACTGTAAATGATACCGCCTTTAACCTGTATTTTTCAGTGCATTAAAATATTGTTTAGTGACAAGCACAGTGCCATGGGATAAGTAATTTGAAGTTTAAATTGCAGCTTTTTATGAAGCATGAAATGCTCTCATATGTCAAAGATTTCACTTAACCCAGGAGTTTGATGTTAATACATTAATTACAGGTAATAAAAAAATAATCATACTTCAGAGTTAACCCAAAGTATTAATTTCTCGAAATGAGATATAGTACTAATACACCAGAAACACTACTTATAATTTAAGTTGAAGCAGAGCATACATTTTTCTGTATTCAAAATTGTTAATGTAAGTATTAGAACTCTATTTCTTTTAATGTTTAACAGCAAACACTGTATATTGTAATATTAGGCTCTAGCCTAAATATTTAGATGACAATAACTTCTAGTTAGTTTTGGTGTCCACATACTTAATGCTATTTACAGTACAACCAACTTTTCCTTCAGCTGGAAAGGAGTGATTCACTATTCAGTCTTCACTGCAGTATTTCTATTGTCTTACCAAAAGAAAACCGAGTTAGTTAACTTAAAGACCAATTCAAGTGGTGGTAGTGTATTTGGTCAAAAAAACCCCAAAACCAAACCAAAACCACCTATTGTCTAAACTTCTAAGAAGCTGCTGTACTAGAAAGGCAGACATTGCAATGTTTCTCATACTAAAGTCGTGTTACCACATTTTGACAGGAGATGGCTGCCAACCATCTGCTTGACAATTTGTGCAAACCACCATCTCTGTCATTCATAATCACAGCTTCTTGTGGTAACTACAGCAACTGCTTCCACTGCAAAGTACTGTATGTGTGGCTGACTTTTAATGCGATTTAGCAGCCTTAATTACAGAGCCAACATCAAATAAGTAGCAAGCTCTCTGCTGATTCCAATTTCAAAACCTCTGAAATACTCCTCTTCCCACATAATTCAGAAGAAGCTTTTTCGTATATTCAATATTATATTAGGTAATTAGCATTATATATGTATATCTATTATGTCTTTAAATACATTTTATAAATAAATTCCAACAGTGTGTTGTAAAGTAATGCATAAAAGTTTCACAATTTAAATAAATATTTTTCACATTCCAATTCAGCTTCTTACAAGCTCATCTTTATTTCATGCCTTAGTTCTGAAGCAATGTTTTTGCTTCAATACAAGAGGTAGATTTGATAAGAGACTGGGCAAGTCAAGCCTACTACCAAAAATGCAACTGCCAGTAACTGTATTGCTGATATGCAGTTTGAGACTACATGAAAAATTCAGAACCACTACCTAAAATCCTACCAAGTCTTAGTTTAACAGTTCCTGTTAAATCACACTTAATGCTTTACTTTAGACATGATTACTCACAGTTGTTTTCTGTACATAAGAGATAATGAAAAACACAAATACAAAACAAAGAACAGTTGTATCTAACACAATATATAAAAGTGCATGAGCTGCTTCATCTATTTCTACAAAACATGTTTAACTTTTCCTCTAACTTTGGCCATAACAAAAAGACCTCTGGGGGGGGGGGGGGGAAAAAAAGAAAAACC